AGGCCCCTGGCCAATGCCGTCAGCCGTGATGTACTCATCGTCTACAGTCGCAAATGGCTCCACATCCATTCGGTCGTCAGCCTTGGAGAATCCGTTGGGCCGGCCCATGCTATGTGCCAGGCCAGCTTCCATGGAAGTGATGATGTAGGCAAGACGGCGTCGCATGTCCAAGGTCAAGGGATCCAGGAGATTCCCGGCCCCAATCGTCTTCTCATCAGTCAAGCCTTCTGCCTGACAAACGCGCGTGGCCATGCCAACCATGTAGTATACGGCGGTTCTCGTGGGGGTCAAGAGGGAGTATTGACCGATGAGCGCCAAACTCTGTAGAGACTTGAGGTCCTTAGGCCGGGACACTTGCTCGAAGTGTTCCATGGCAGCCAAATAGTAGCTGTCGGCCAGACCGGCATACTGAGGATCCATCTTTTGCAGCGAAATGGCAAACACCATGCGGACTATGAGGTTCTTGTAGGGGTCTTGGTCACCGGCATACACTGCCTCCAGATCGTCCAAGAACATTTTCTCGTGCAATGTCGGCCAAAATACTTGGGCTGTCCACTAGAAGTCAGTCGCGGGTTAGGCCGAGAACAAGGAGGGGGTTTCACTTACATCGCTGGCAAAAGACATCCACGAGCTTATTGGCGATGGGTCTAGTCGGCAGGCTCTGGGCGGGGTGAGCGCTGATCATGGGATAACTCTTCTTTCGATCCCTCGTCATGACGATGGATTGCATGCGCGTCATCCTCCGCGCTCGAACTTCGGGAATCAACTCTGAGATTCGCTTCGAGTCGGTAAAGAGCTTTGCGCCCTGGACTAGCAAGCGTGTCATTGCGATGCCGCTACTTGGACCCAGGTAGCGGGGAGTCTCGTCGGTATCGTTCAGGCGAACCAAACCACCGGGCCGCACGATGTCCTCGTCGAGATGAGAGAACTCGCTGTCGTCGTCGGTGTACTGGCGTAGCTCGGCCTCGAGGGCGCGCACCTTTTCTTGCAGCTTAATGACATAATTACGATTGATCTTCTTTCCCTTGGTCGTATCGTAGTATTCGCAAACCGAGCCGGCGCGTTCGCACGGCAGACAACGGGGTAGAGTAGGATCGCATCTTGTTTTACGCTACAGAGTTGAACAAGTCAGCCGTGGTCTACGAAACGCCATACACGTATTCACTAGTCGAGAGGCCGGGAGGCGCCGGGTTCACGGGGAGGGGCTCCGACGTACCTGGCGGCAGCGGCAGCAAGCCGTCAGAGTGTGGGCAATGCGATTGGAGGAGCCGTCACTCTCTGGATCTTCGCGACTGGTAGGAGGAGCGCGGGAGGGGCCCGGGTAGAGTTGGGGAGGAGCGTTGGGAGGCGGGTGGTGATGGTAGGGTGGGTTTCGTGGCATCATGTTGCCCAGGCCATGACGGTAGATGTCCATGGGCTGGGATATAGAGACTGAGGCTATTCGCCCAGTCGATCTTTGTGTGTCTAAGCAAGAAGATCACAAAGGCGCCTTATGGTATAGACGGTGATTTGCCTTTGCCTCGCTGAGAAAGCTTGCAGGGAGCCGGCGAAGGCGGGTAAGGTAAGGTAGTATGTAGTCGTCGTTGAGAGTTGTTCACGATGAAGTGGGTGTCGTTTACGGGGCGGAGACGTACGTGGGCGAAGGGATCGGTGGAGCGCAAGGGCGGGCAGAATGTCTCATGATTCGGCTGACGAGGGATTCGATAGTAGGTCGAGGGTATCGTGAAGAGACAGAGGGTCCTCTTGTCTCGCCAGTCGCGTGTGTGGTGGACTCGGCGGTTGTGTAGGCTATGTTTGTATGTCGGGCTGGGTATGGACGGATAGGTGCAAGAGGAGACGGACACGGGCAGCGGGCGTGAAGAGACGACAAGGTCCACAATTGAAGGTGTTGCTGTTTGCTGCTGCTGGCTGCTACGCCGAAAAAGATGACAATGTACGGAGTACAGGGCAGAGTACAGGGCAGAGAGACCGGGAGGAGAGAAAGTGCCCTGGAGTGTCGTCCAGTTGATTGTCCGCCCGCAATTCCGCAAGGCGTGGTGGTCACCTTTTGCTGGGCTGGGGGTACCTCAGGTATGGAGTTCTCCGTATGCCGTACATTTAGGTACGCGTCGTAGGTTGTCACTTTCAACGCTCTGCAGCAAGAAAGGTACTTCGGCCTCCTGTCGTGCTCGGTACCTTACCTGTGGGCGATGTTGAATGGGCATGGGCGGTGGTCCAGCAGAGCAGGGCAGGGAAGGGCGGGGGGGGAGAGGAGAGATCCTGGAAAGAGAGGAAAAGGTACATGAAGACTAGGCGCAGACTAGGGCATAATGAGGCGAAGTGGGATGTACTGCCGAGGTACAGAGTGGGAGACGCGCTGAGGCGGGAGCTGGATGACAGCCCAGATGCGAGGAATGGAAGGCACGACCTCGCAAGGTCTCGGCTGTTCATTCGCTAATCAGAGGAATCGGCCAGGGCGACGGTCAAGGTTCGCGGGTACCAGGTGTCGGTAGGGGCGTTTCAGAACCATTGCAGTGGGGACCTTAGCAGAGCTTCGTTAAGGCTGGACGACCTGACACTCCCGTTCCTTTCTTGAGATACCCTGTACAGTAACATCATCTCCATTCCCGTGCTTCATCACGACACTTGAATGAGTGACAGGAGGGGGATACAGGTGACAGAGAAGGGAACACCGAATAACGGGATGAAGCCTCTCGGGACTCGTCACAGTCACAATGGAGGTGGGCGCGGTAGGTGGGCGGGATCCAGGATGAAGGGATCCATAATCCCATAGTCCGTTCCGTGGATACGGAGTATGGACACTGACTGACTTCAGACAAAAATGTCCCGTGGGCCGTGGATAGGTACTACACACTAAAGAATAATTACTAGCCAGATAATCGCTGGTGCGAAATGGCACTGACTGGATATTCAAGTGGACAGCCCAAAGGGTTTACCTGCTTCATTGGGGCCGTTAAGATACCTTACAGGTACAGTATCCATACAGGATAGTCATGGCGGCACCATCCATGGCCGTGGATACACAGATCCATACAATCGCCAACAAATCCGGCAGACGGTCCAAGTATCTCGTCGTCTGAAAGCCAGGCCTACCTGGCTTCCAGCCGTGGGTGAACAAGTTTGGGGTCCGCGAGGTTTGAACAGGCTCAAACCGAGTGGGTGAGCAGGAGGGCAAGATATGAAGGCGGGCAGCAATAGCACGGCACATGCGGAAATGGCCTGCATGGGAGCGGCTATTGACTGACAATTCCCGGCTGGGAACCTGGACGGGTTTGTGTTTTTTTTTTTTTCTTTTACTTGTTTGTATCCGTATTCAAGGTGCGAAGGACGTGTATTCGGTGAAGATGGTTATCATGTGCGTAATTCATCCGAGGGGAGAGGTGAGGAGTGTCGTTGTGGCTGACTGATGCAGAACGCGCCTTCCTGCACCATGGCACCTTACTCGAGGGAGGTCGAGCGAGGACCTTTCGCTCCTTCCTCTGCCCATGGCCTTAGCTCCTTCCGGCTGCCAAAAAGTCAAAGCACAGCCATCCAAGTCTCTGGATCATTGGATGCTTGACTCTTGACTCTTGACGGTCCTTCCTGGCGATCCTTTCTACCTACCTGTCTCTGGATCCGTGTGCCTGCCGTGCCTGCCTCATCCCACCTGGCACCCAGCACCTCCTGCGTCCTGAGCACCCCGGTGTGCCCCGCCCCTGCCCTTCGAAAGAGGTCGGCCTTGCCCCGCTCTTTCCTTCCTTTCTGCTTCTATGATCATCTCCCCCAAAACTCTGATCATCTGATTCGCCGCAGTCTCCACTTGCGAGATCCACCTCTCCAAACAGTCAAACACCATTGAGGCTGGGCTTTCCTGTCGAGACACGGCAGGAGGGCATAGGTGACAGGGAAAGCACTGCTGCTGGCCTACCCTACTGCACTGGGAAGCTGCACTGGGTGACTGGGAAGCTGCAATTCGCAAAGCGTGAAAAGTTACGACTACAAGTGCAAGAACGAGTGAGAGACATGCAGCCGATCCTTCTATTCCCAGGCGTGTGTGTGTCCCAGTGCCCGCCAATGACATGTCATGCCCGACTCACCCTTTTCTCACATTCCCATCTCAACTTCCTCATCGGACTCGACTGCCACCACCTCCGGTCTGACGGAACACCCACCCGGTAGCATTTCTACCTCGCCATCCCGTCCCTTGCTTCCCCCCAGGCCGCCCAGTCCACGTTACAAGGCGGCGACCATCAATATCTATTCTTTGGTACGCAGCACGGCTTCGGACTCACATCACCACCACCATCAACAGGGAAAGACGCCGTTGTGATCGATGCCGACGGTACGGAGTACTGGTGCAGAAAATACGATGAACACATCCATGCACCATGAGAGACGCGCCCGCACGTCCACCAGGAGAAAATGTCCCAAATGGCATGACGGATACCTGACTAACCGCTGTCAACCACCAGCCTCCCATGATCTTCATCTATCCGTACTCCGATCTTCCAGAACCCTACAGAGTACGGAGTACAGGGCAGAATTGGATAGAGGCAGACTACGGATACAGAGCACGAAATATCCTTCGTCACACCGTCTCTTCGTCCGCGGCCGCCGCCCAACGCCGCTGCATGCATTCGCGGCTCTGTCCCTTCTACCCCGCCCTAATCCTCATTTCGAAGGATTCCCGACGCTCGACGAGCCTTTTCTGGACTGAACCCTTGATTCGGCTGCACTAGCACAAGCTGCCCTTGCCATTTCTGACCTGGTATCCAGGCTCGTCGATTCCTAAATTCTCTGTCAAGTACTGAGGATTCGACCTGACTTGGTCGCTTTAGTGTACCTACCTACACTAGGTACCGTACGCAGCAGGTATCGCAACGCTACCGGGTACCTACCTACCTACCTCCGTCCACGGATCCAGCTCCTGACCTCATCGTGTCATTGATTGAACGATGCTACCTCTTCAAGAGGCACACTTCAGGGGCCTTCCTCAAGCGCTACTTACCTCGCAGTATTTCTCACAAGATCGACGACCCGGAGGACAAGGTTCGCAGGGAAGAGAAAGAGAAGAAAAATATGACAGAAATTTTTCTGGAAAAAAAGTCAACATCAGTCGTCCAAAACAATATCGCCTTGTGGGACGGAAACAACGGCGTGCCCTGCATGAGATGACATTTTTCATGGACCCCTCCAGCAAGTGGGGGAAATCCAAGCACCCACGAGCACCATGACACCAGCACCAGCATCAGGAGCACGGTACGGCACTTTTCTGGTCTATCGCTCCCATTTGCGAGGGGGATACGCACCATGGCTTGCGCCATTATGCACATCTGTTGGCGCCGCTCAAGTGGTTTTTGTCTCAGTCCGGACCTGCAGCAATACAACTGTCTTGACCGTCATTCTACAGGACCTGTCAGTCTAGCGTGGCACTTTGGTCTGGACACGCCCATTGCAAAGACTAGAGGGCGTTGGCGGCTTCTTCTGAGTCAACAACTGCCCTTCTTCTGCCTATCTCAAGTGACGATCTCCAAGATTCGAGGTGCTTTCTCTCGACGAGCCCACCTCAACTGATGGGCATACGTACGGTGTACCAGCAGCCAAACAGAGCTGTTCTTCTTGAGCTTCCATAATCATCACCTTAACGCGTCGCAAGATCCACGTCTCCGTCTTTTTCGTCCCGGATTGCCAGTATCATTGCCCGCTATGCCCGATTCGGCGATGCGCACCTTGTGTGCTTGGCAGACCGCGGCAAGCCAAAACGCAATTCACGACCGCAACGCATGGTGCTCGCTGTAAGCATCGTCTTGGCTCTCATCTTGTTTCTCCTGTGCGGCTGGCCTCGTCGCTTCGATCGATTAAACACATACAAGGATTGTACGGCGCGGCCGAAGAATGACGAGCTGAGCTTTCAAGATAACATTGATTCTGGAAATGCCGTGCAATGCGCTCGGCAGTTCATCTATCTAGTGATGGAAGGAGCGTGGGGCCAGCAAGATCGTCGTGCCATCAAAAAACGCCTCTAGCTTCGCCTCTACCGTCTGTAGTCACCTATCACAGCTCGAAATGCATCGGATACATACGAATATTCGGCCTGGAAGACCCGAAGCAGGCTTTCACCTACATATGAACAGGCGCTCAGGGTCAAGGTCGAGCCTTCGAGGCTGGCTGGCGCTGGCGAACAAGTCGACGACGTCTACGGTCTTGAATGTGAGACGGGTCCAAGCAGAACCTTATCACTACCGACGGCGGCCGCACTCTCGTTCTGTCGGCCCCCAGGCTGTCACCCCTTGGCCCCTGGCGGTCTTGAGCTTCTCCTCTCGTTCGCGGATCGTCGGATTCGCGGTTCGCCTTCTATTTTTGTTCCAGAATATTGCATCTGCCGGTTCCAAATTGCATCGTTGGCACGTTGTGTCGTCAATCCTCGTCGAGATCGGGGGCCCCGACGACGGCCTGTCCCCCGTCCAAGAAATAAAGCTGCAGAGAACCCTGGAAGCTTTCTCAGCCCAATATCCATCGACGAACAGCTGCCAGTGGCCGCCCAGGGGAAAGAGAAGGGGAACGGGACGGGCTTTATCTGGCAAGGCAAAAAAAAGAAAAAGGTCAGCCAGGGTTCAGGGGTGGCTTGTACTCTGTACTTCCAGTGCCCATTCCGTGGCCCGCCTTGCCCGCCTCCCACAGCTTTCGTCAGGTTCAGAGAAACGGAGCCCAGGCGGGGTAAACGTCGACCCTTCAGTCGGCGTCGGTCGCACAAAAGAGGGGAAAGGCCGTGTCAACGACTGTGCCGCCGATCTCCAGCATAGACAGAGACTCGGAGTCTCAGAGTCTCGCTCCCACAGATTACGCCGCCGTTGGATGCGCCTGGTGGCAGCACCAAAGTTACAAGCTACAACCAAAGATCCCCGCGCAATACGAACCCCCCAAACCGTCCAGTCCAGTCCAGGTCGACCTTTCCTTTGCCCTGGCCTCGTCCTGCCTCGTCTGCCCTGGCCTTGCGTAGTCTTTGGCCTTCCCTGCCTGCCTTGCCTTACAGCCCTTGCCTCGTCCTCCAGCGCAAGCACGACGCAAGCACGCAAGCACGCAAGCACGCAGCATCGACAGGCACCCAAACGGTCCACGGATACTGCGGTAGTGCAACAGCAAGGGGGAAGCCGTGAACGACTCGCGCACCGTCTCGTCTCGGACACTTGCCCCGGACCTTGTTCTCTCGACGAATATCCGTACTGACTCTCTACGGATACTTGTGGCTTCGCTGCGCTCTCGGTTCTGTTGCACTTCTGAACCACAGATCAGCATCTCTCGTGTTTTGATCTTCCGACAGCCGCACACCTCGAGCCGCCTTTTGATCGTACGCATCATCGCTGCGACTATTTTGAACCCCAGGGCTCAACATTCAACTTTCCGACAGCCGACGCGCCAACTACTACACGCGATACCGCGCTTAGGACGATCTGTTCTCTTACGTGCACCAGTCCCTGCAGCGTAATCCGGATCCCGGACACACTCCAGCGCCCCCGTCAACGACGATCCAGCTTTACAGTCAACTTGACGTGATCTCAGCCTGAACTTCGCTTCACTTTCGACGGAACGTTCACCACATCATTCGTACTTGGTTCCTTCCGTTTTACGCGTTTCACGGATCGCACATCTTTTCAGAGAGTAGACGATCCCCTAAACTACTAGCCTCTATTTCATCAACCCAATCGCCTGGCTCTATCCTCTGTCGTGGATCCCTTGCGATTCGTCATCGATCTCAAAGCTTCAAGATAGCGCGGCCTCGAGGCACGGCACCTCGTTTCCCCGTCGCATCTCCAATCGCACCCAATGCCGCGATCTAGTTTCTCAGATAACCCCCTGCTGCGGGTATCGCGGCCTGTATCGGCCTGCTCGCGATGTGAGTTGTCATGGTTGCGGCTGACTGCTTGTGTTCATGCGAGGCTAATCGTGCCCCACAGGTCGAGCTGCAAAAGTCAAGGTAGCTATCCTTCCCCCCGCTGCCCAGCCTGATGGATCTAACGGGCTCTTGCTGATGCGTACTTGACTTTGTCTAGTGTGATGGCAAGCTTCCAGCCTGTACTGCCTGTGAGAAGGCAGGCCGCGAGAATGAGTGCTCCTCAGCCAATGACCAGTTCGCCAGAGGCAAGGAGAGAAGGTTGGTCCGCCCGTCATGAGATCTCGGCATGCGTGATGTTAACAGAGACTCAGTTATGTAGCAGCCCTGGAGCTTAGAGTTGAAAAGCTAGAGAAGCGGTTGGCATTTGCGAGATCGCGCAAGGCATCGGTTAATCTCCACGATGTCGATGAAGCGACAGCGGCTCCTGCTGACCGCAAGGACTCTCTGGCCAATATTCGAGCTGCGATTCACCGGAAAGCCGCCCGTAAGAGGGAGGACTCGGATGTTAACGCACTCGTGTCTGACTTTGGCTTCTTGTACGTCCATCTCTTGGCCCCGCACTTTGAAGTGCGTGCTGACGTTTGCCAGATCCGTCAACGCAACAACTCGTGATTTTGAACCTTCCGTGAGCGGCATGACGTTCGCCCGCCTGGTGCTGGCTGCCGCGACTAACGACGAGGTACCGGATCCGACGGAGGACAGTTTCCCAACCAGAGCAGAGGCCTTCGCCACTGTTCAGTATTACATGGCCAACGTCTACTCACTGTTCCCGTCCTTCTCGGAGACTCACTTACTCACCGTCTTGGACGATGTCTATCAGCAAGACGAAAGAGTCAAGGACAGGCTCAAGGATGCCGACTTTTGGCTACTGTACATGGTTCTCGCTATTGGGTACGCGGCCCAGAGCAGGGACAAAAACGATGACTTCTCTCGCCGCGGTCTAGACTTTGTCGCTCGCGCCTTGCCTTTTGCTGACAAGGCACTGATGCCTGGATATCCAAGCCAGATTCAGTCGCTCATCCTCTTCACGCAATACTCAATGCTCGACCCTGGCCATTTCGACAGCTGGTATCTGATAGGATTCGCGAGTCGTGCTGTGGTTGACTTGGGATTCCATCAAGACCCGCCACAGCTCCAGGTTCCCGATAAGGCTGCTCTCGACCTTCGGAGGAAAATGTTTTACTGTGTATATGCACTTGACCGGTAAGCTCGTTGAGCCTAGATGGCATGCCAGATTCAACTCGCTGACACCAAGGATAGGATGATCAGTATGGTTCGCGCCCGATCCTTCTCATTCACAGATGATTCCATCAATGTCGAGTATCCCAGCAACTCTGGCTTGACTTCTGGGCCGATCACTGGCCCTCAATCAGCAGACTCGGCTTTAGTCTTGTTCCAGCTTCGTCGACTCCAGTCCGAATGGTATCAGACACTATTCCAGGGAGACGCAGCGCCACTTTCAGATGCTGCCTCCTTCATTTGGCAGATGTGTCTGGAAATGAGAGAGTGGCACGAGTCACTGCCTGATAACCTCCCCTCGGGCATCCGCGAGTTCTTCGAGCTCGAGCTGAGATACAGTTACATCCACTGCCTTGCGCCTAGCGATCGCCAGCCACACCTGACTGACTACACCCGCAAACTCATTTTCGAACATGGCATTGCTTACATGAACACAATTCACAGTGTCGTCCATGGCTCCGTCAACACGGCATTCTACTCCTCCCTGGACGCTCTCAAGGTCTTTTTCGTCGCAACACAGTTCTTCGTCGTCTTCAACGACAAGCGTGAGCTTCTTATATCGGAGCAAAGAATCATTCCGCCTATCACTCGTCCAGGCACCGCACCTCCGCCACCTCTACCGCATCGCCCGGCTGGTGGCGAGGATAGTTTGGACAGAAGCATGCGATGCTTGCAGCAGGTTGTGGAAACACTTGCAAGATACTCTCAGCGATGGGACATTGCGCTACAGCTCAAGACTACATTTGAAGGATTGTCATCAGAGTTGTTTACCTGGCTTCAAGTACGTCGGCAGATGAGAGAGCAAGGACAGCTGCCTCAACAACACCAGCAACAAATGCAGCAGCAGCATCAGCAATCGCCTCATCAACCGCAGCAGCAGCAACAACAACATCAACCACAACAACAACCACTCTACCACCCGCACCAACAGTCTTCACCTATACCCCATGGTCCCTCGCCGCCGCTTGGTCAACACCCTCAACACCCTCAGCATGCCCAACATCCATCCTACCCGCCTCATCCCCATCCTCAGGCCCTCATGGGGCAACAACAGGTGTCGATGCAAAGCATGATGCAGCAGCAGCTTCAAGGGCAACCGATGATGCAATACAGATGGGTCGGCGATGGGGGCGGGCAGATGATGCCTGGTCCACCGGGGCAAGGCCCACCGATGTGAGCCACATGAACAAAGTCATTGCGCAATGCTCGTTGAATTCTGGAAACGAAATGGATACCTGGATTGGAGCAGCACATTTGTATTCTTAGATTATAGAGATGGCACTCCATCGTTAGAGTCTTCTCTACAACAAGGTTCTGTGTCAAACCTACCTGAATTTGAGTATCCCTGTGACGCCCAATCGCCTAAGGTCCATGAAAGCCGTGTTGGAATGCCACCTTGGCTAGTATTCGCTATCATCAATGGTATAAGCTCTGTCTTTCTCTCTCGTCTAGCTTTACTCTTTTCTTAGCGTAAGCTCTGTCTTGATTCCTCTACTTGCTTTCTGATATCTAGGTCCAACTTCACAAAGGCTTTGGGATAGTAACGGAAGGAAGACAGCAATGGTTTTTTCACTTCTCAGGAACAAATATGCAGATCTAGCATTACAGACGGAGGGGGGTTGAGAGAGCTAGGGATGAAGAAGCTAAAGATATGAACCATCATCTGCTCCTTTTCTTGAATCGTTGCATTTGTGGATGCCATGAGACACCACGGTTCGTTCGGTATGGACCCCAAAGATGAGGAATGGAGGGCAAGTACATGGGAGAGACGTCAAAAAGACCGACCATGGTAAGCAGTCTTTGGTAGATGATGGCTTGACGAGACAATGCAATCTTACCGCCTGGTCATACTCAATAAAGGAGAAGTCTAAAATTTGCTAGGAGTTTACTAAGAGCTTGAAGAGGTCTATATAAATTGAAGGTCTTGCCAGGGAATCCATTCTAGCTTACTGTATGATTTATACGTCCGTTAGCCTTCACCCGGTACAGTGCAGCTACTAAAGTGCAGCTACGCTTGCTTACTCTTATAATAAAATAGAACTAAGGTTAAAGAGGTGTTCGCTGTCATGGAGTGTAGTGATAGTACTGTTCGTATTCGTGCTCAGATACGAGCGTGCCGTTCAAGGATAACAGACATAAGTACTAGTTAAAATAGAAAAGTCACATAAGGTGTCGTTCACACTAAGTACTGGTATTACCTTTGGTATTCGTGCTCAGATACGAGCACGTTTGGAGTAGTAAAGCTGGGTCGGACGGTTAGTGGGATTTTAACGTTTAAAGAGAGAGGATGTAGATGGAGGGTACTGTGGCCCGCAGCGCTATCATTCCATCTTCGCATCGACAGTGTGCTGATGACGAAAGATGTTAGAAGAGCAAGATGCGGTGCCATTGTAGAGGGCGTTTATGTAGGTATCTCTAGCTCGATACATGTACTTGTGCCGAGATGATGAAGACAGAGATAGGGAGGGTTTTTTCGTTTCATTTGCACTGCAGTCTCATTCCGACCTGTATTGACTGACAAGTCCTTAACCAAATCATTTCATATAGTGCCGAGCCAAAGATGATTCAATCATGACAACTTCAATTTCGCAATCTGGGGTATAATGCGACGGGACCTAGGCCTCTTTCAGGCCGATCCTCCGTTCTCTGATAATAATACATCAATCCGCATTACTCATTACTCCTCTACCCATCTCCAATTACCGACATATTCTCATCTCCTAAACAGCCTCCTTCCTCTCAGACTGCTGAATCTCGGCACCGTCCTTGTTATCAAGCGCAGAGTGGCCGTGGTGTCCCTCCTCGGGTCCGACGCCCAACATCTGCGCGCCCTTCTCGGTGTGGTTGGCGCCGCCGAACAGCTGGTCCATCTCCTCGAGCGGGATCTGCTTGGTCTCGGGGATGAGGAAGTAGACAAAGATGCCGAGGACGATGTTCATGGCCATGAAGAAGAAGAGGCAGTTGAGCCCCTCGTTGGCGAGGAAGGTGGGGAAGAATTGCTGGAAGATTGTGTTTGCGACGTTTTGCATCTGAGAGCACATGCCGACGGCCTGGGCGCGGACGTTGACGGAGAAGATTTCGGCGGTCCACATCCAGGTTGTTGCGCCCCATGTTGGCTTGTAGAAGAAGATGACTTTGGAGACGTTAGTTGAGTGTACTTAAAGAGGGAGGATGTTGAGGGAAGAACTTACAGAGGAACAGCAAAAACACAATGGAGATACCGACGGGCTCGCTCTTTGTTCCGTCTGCTGCCGTGGGAGTCTTCATGCCGACGATGGGAACGATGAGCATGCACACAGCCATACCAGCCGCACCGACGAGGAACAACCACCGACGACCGAAGCGATCAGCCGTCCACATGGCGTTAAGCGTGAAGAAGATACCCATGGTGGCGTTGAGCGCGTTGATGAGGTTAATCGTATCGGTAGACGGCCAGACCTTCTTGTAAATCGAAGTGGAGTAGGAGTTGAGGGTACCCTGGCCGGTGAGCTGCTGTCCGACGTTGAGAGCGAAGGCGAGGTAGAGGCGCTTGCGGATGGAGGGGTCCTTGAAGAGGGCGGTGTAGGAGCTGCTGATGGCCTCCTTTTCGTACTCGATGGCTTCGCGGATCTGGAGGAGCTCCTGCTCGACCTCTTCCTCGGTGTCGCGGATGCGCATGAGGGCGGCGCGGGCGGCCTCGACGTTGCCGTTCTTTTGGATGTGCCAGCGCGGGGACTCGGGTTGGAAGGGGAGGGCGATGATGATGAGGATGGGGACGAGCATCTGGAAGATGACAACCATCTTCCAGTCCCATTCGCCGAGCTGTTCGCGGCGCTTGGAGCAGGCGTACTGCAAGATGTGTTAGGGGGTTTTCTCTGTGCGGGAAAATGAGGGTGGAGGAACATACGTTGATCCAGTAGGCGATGAAGGAACCGACAGAGTAGAACATTTGCCAGCAGGCCATGATGTGGCCACGAATCTCAGAGGGGGCGACCTCGCCGATGTAGACGGGGCCGGCGGTGAGAGCCATACCCTGGCCGAGACCGATCACGACGCGGCCGGCGATGAAGACGCCAAGCTTGTGGTGGGGGGTGAAGGTCTGCATGAGGGTCGCGATGATGGTGACGAAGCAGCCGATGGCCATGCCCCAGCGACGTCCGAGGTAGTCGGCCTGTGTTGAGAGGTTTGTGTTAGTCCTTGCTCTGGCTGATACCACATTCGATGACACGAGAGGGTGCGCTTACAGTGGGACCACCGATGAAGAAACCGGCAACGATGGCGCCGATGGTGTAGGCGGTGTTGACGAGGCCGATGAGCTGGGTGTCCTTCTTGAGGTCGACGTCGACCCAGGCGAGCCAGTTCTTCGAGCCCTGAAGGGAGTTGAAGACGGAGGCATCGTACCCGTAGAGGACCATGCACATGGCCGCCATCAGGGAGATGTACCAGTTGTACACTCTTTTGCCGGACGGAAGACCCATCTTGGCGGACTCTGTTGTTGGTGAAGTTGCTAGAAAAAGATAACGACGCCCTGTGTGGTAAGAGGAGGGTGTTATCGACCCAGAGAAGAGAAAGTGATTGAAGCAACTCCGGCAGAGAGGTGAAGAGCCGAGGAGGGAAGAGGAGGAGAGTCGTTCGATTCAGGAAGAAGGGGAGATGGGAGGTTGTCTTTAAAACCTTTATCTCAAAGGCGCACACCATACCACGCTATACCCGGTCTCTTTCTCTCACAAAAGTAACCTAAGCCGTTCAGATAGGGATCCCCGCAAGAGTTTAGATTTCCCCCAATCCTTTCCCCCAAATCCCCTCATCTCACACCCCCGGTCCCCCTCATTCCCCGGTCTGACTATCCGCCCAAAAGATGCTGGGTTTCGAACGAAGACGGCTGGCTGCCGATACACTAGAATTAGATGGCGAGAAAGAAGAGCAACCAACCGAGAAAGGAGGAGGGATTCGGGCTGGCACCCGGCATCTTTCCCCATAATTGTCAAGGGCCCCAGGCCTAGCGCTGGTTCCGGGGGAGTGGAGAATGAGATGGGGGAGTTTGGATGGCATGGTTGGATGGGTTTGGTTTTCTGCACACCGAATGCTGAGAGATACCTAAATTAGAGCCGGGTTTCTGTCTTGTTGCATATGATTATCCGTAGGTACATGTAGGTTAAGTTCCTTTGCTTGAGTCTGTCATGACCGCCAGGTAAAGGGCCGAAGACATTGTCAAATGTGATATCTCCAAACACTCTCTTCCGTTGCTTTTCAAAGCCTCTCTGTGTTGATTCCCTCTCTCATCAACTATGTCGTCCAAAGACAAGACAACCCAAGGAATGCGGCGACAGAACGAACCTCTTGGCGCCGCGCCGCGTGTGGCCCGCCGTGTCCGCCTCTCTTCCCCAGAGACCCCCAACCTTTTCAACAATCCTTGCTCGACTCTTGTCTCCGCGAAAGGGCCAAAGGAGAAAGCTAGCCAGCCGGCTAGCCCATGGAGAAGGGGGGGCGTCTGAACCTGCGGAGAAACCCCCAACTTCTAATAATCCACCAATGGTAATTTCGCCTGGGGAATCGCCTTCACGTACGGATACGCCCTCCCTCAGTCCCCTCAGGACACAATTTCAACCACCGCGTGGAGGCTGGTCTGGGCAAACGCTTGTTTTCCCTTCTTCTTCTCGACTATACTCGAACGAGCCCACACGTTCCCCGTTTCCCCCGTGGGCCGTGAGACTTGTTTGTGCAGTTTGCAGGCGGAGCTGCTTTCGAGTTCGAGAAGGAGGACAGTGACTTATGCGACTGACTGACAGCCAAGCCCGCATTATCGCACGTCCTTGACGCGTGCGCTTCTCGCTTCGAATGTCTACTGCGTAGGCAAGTGGATTTTGTTGTCGATGATGGCCCTTGGCGCTGCGCATGGCTGTCAACGTCTGTTGTCGGATTGCCGAGTCCCGTATCTGGACACGCCTATCCGTGGGGCCGGCTCTGTGTATCTCTCAGACTGCGTCTCTCCGTCGTTTTCAACATGTCTCTCGGTAGTGTATATCTCATATTGAGAACTACCGTCCATAACGAGATATCACCGATGAGATGACTCAACTGGCGCATGCAATGCTGAACTGAATCCGGTCGGCTCTTGAATCTTGCGCGCGCGGGCGACCGCGCCCCAAATTACCGCCCCCCATGTCAAGTGCGTTCGAGCTTCCTCCTGTAATTCTG